AAAAAAAAAAAAATGAAAAAATCATGTGGCTTCGACCTTGCATAAGGTGTATGCCACCAACGTTTTGGCTCATTTGAGCCAGTAGAAAAAAATATAAAAATCTTCAAAGTTTCTAATCCCCACCTATACCCCTCCTATCCCCACCAAAACCCCTCGTATCCCCCCCTCCCACACCAAATAGCACCCTATCACCAAATGCTAAAAAAATTCTGAATTTTTTAATGGGGGATCTCTATATATGATCTCCAAACCGAACGCTCGGGGCCCCCCGGGCTGACCCTCGAACGTTCGAGCTTTCAGGGTCTCGCTCGGGGGTTGAACCCGAAGGGGTTCGACCCCCGCCAAAAATGATTTTGGGGCCTCAAAATGATTTATTTGTTTTTGAAAATTGTTTTGTTAGTTCTGTAGGACATGCGCTACACGCATATAAATTTTTAAGGCATCTTGCTCAGCCAAAAAAATGCAAAATCATCAAAGATGGCGGTGTTAAAACGTGCTCACCGACTCAGTTTTTTTTTTGACTTTTCATCTAGGCTACCAGAGTGGCCCGGGGTTACTTGCCCGACCGAGCCAAAAAAAAAAAAAAAAAAAAAAAACCCACATATTTTTACGTTTTGATTTTTATTCTAAATTTGGTGAAGAATTTTGATGTGACCTTGAGGCAAAAGTTGTTCAGTTTATTGTTCTCCATAACATAGTTTTTGTTTGAATTTTTTTTATTTTTTATTTTTTGGTGGGCCCTTCCCTGGTCCTTGCACGGGTTGGGGCCTCGACCCACTAGTTTCGTTTAAAACGGTGTGTGGCATTCTTTTCTCATTTAAAAGCACATAAACGATGTTATTTTTCATTAAGGCAGCAGCAAAGAAAAGAACAAAAAAAAATGAAAAATCACGGGACCTGGCATTGACATCATGACAGGTCACCCTATGCATCCATACTTCCACCAAACCGATATATCTGCATGCGAGCTTCCCGCCTGCCTGTTCGCAGTCTTCCACAAAAATCTGAATATTCTCAATTTCTGCAAAAAAAAAGTAAGGCGCGAAGCTTCAAAAACACCCCCCCCCTGAAAAATCCATAATATTGAAGCTTCGTGCCAACGCAAAGTGGCCAACTAAATGGGCAACAAATGAATTAAACAAAAATCTACTGGCCGATGGGCAGCTGCCTCGACTAAAACAAAGATAATAGACACTAACATTCGATACGCTACTGGATCAACGACTAACGGATGTCACGGACAACCGCATGTGATAGAAAACAGAGGAGCACAAGCGTAAAGCGATGCTAGTGGGTCGAGGCCGCTGGCCACCCGGGACTCGGGCGGCCCGACTGGTAGCCTAGCTTTTCTATTTTTTTTGTGATTATTTTTTGGTGGCTCAAATATTTTATTATTTTTTGATTTTTTTTGCATGAGTTTTGTATTATGTGAAGTACATATATGTAAAGTTGCAGGGCATTTGGCTGTGCCAAAAAAAAACAAAAAATCGCCAAAATGGGTTTGTGCCCTCATTAATTTTAATTATATAATTTATCTTTTTTACTTTTTATTTTTTTATATTAAATTATTAGTATTTATTTTCCTTTTTTTTTTTTTTTTAATTTGGTAAGGAATTTGGATGTAATGCTCAGCCAAATGTTGTTTACTTTATTTTTCGGCATAACATATGTTTTTTTGATATGTTTTTGATTTTTTTATTTTTATTTTTCTGCATTCGGCCCGAACGGCCGAACGCATCCCCAAGGGGTCCCGTACGTTCGGGCGTTTGGGTTCGGGCGTTCAGCCCATCCCGAACGTCGGCCACCCTGTATATATATATATATATATATGTATACACACACACACACAAAGGGAGGGAGGGAGAGAGAGAGAGAGAGAGAGAGAGAGAGAGAGAGAGAGAGAGAGAGAGAGAGAGAGAGAGAGAGAG